ATTTGTTTTCTAGACAGAGGCAAAAATCAAGAATAAATTAGAACAATTCTGTGTAAAGAGGAATACCTGGCAAAAATCAGATTTAGCGTGAAAGAAGGAAAAAAAGAGAGATGAGAGAAAAAGAGCAAAAGGTCAGGAATGAGTGACAGATAGGCAGAGATGACACAAATAGCTTCAAAGTGACACTGTTTGTCATGTAGATGGGGTTTAGAGCTGAAAGGGACTAAGAAGAAAAGGCCTGTTTCAGACTTTCCCCAGAGGCCGTTTGCAGAGACAAACAGACAAGGATTTTGTTTCCCTAGGCCTGACTACCCTTTTGTTGCCCTGGAAATTATGCCTACAAATAGTATACCAGTCATCACCCACTTTATATCTGTAGGTCTCTCTTTCTTTCTCCCAGTTTTACCGTCTGCAGGTTTTGCCCTGTCTATTCCTGTTTGATTTTTCATGCTTCTAATTCATCAAAGAATCCTTCTCTTCCATTGTATCATTTGTCCACATTTCTCATTTCACTAAAACTCCCTGTAGCTCTTATTTGATCAGATTTTGTCAAAAATGTATATACTTTCATTCTCTGTCTTTATCTTATTTTTTTCCATGTTTTTTTCTCATGTTTTTGAATATCTTGAATCCTTCATATCTCAGTCTACTTGTCAACCTGTCTGCCTCCAATAGCTCAAAATCACTTCTGTTAGACTTCAGCATCCTGTTGTGCAGTGCAGCTGTTAAGTACCTTGTTGTCATGGAAACTATACAGAATTGAGCAGGTGTCCCGTTGACATTTACAGAATTGAAGAGTGCACCTGAATCCAGACCATGTGTCACAGCTTTGCTGAGTTATATGGCTATGTCAGATGAGAGTGTAGGGTCAGACTTCCCAAGTAGCAAAAATGCAGGTTTTAAACAGAATTACAGTTACATGTTTACAGAGCCATATGACAACATTACCGACTTCAGGACGTATAATTTTAAATAAATGAATAAAATCACTTTTATGTTAATTTATGTTAAAATGTTAGATTCTTATCACTAAAACTTATTTGCTTGTTCAACCACTGTGATAGAAATCATATCTGAAAGACAAAACACAGCAGGTTTAATAGAGTAATAGAAAACCATTCAACAAAACACCATGAAATTAATGCTTCTGATTTACTGTGACTTATAATCTACTGATTGATTGTAGATTTTTTTTCTCGTAAGCAGTAGTTGTCTGGATCCTGCAATCCTTATCAATTTTCCTTTACAGTGGAATATGCAGTAATAAAGAGGCTGCTAAACTCTTAATGTTAAAGGCAGAAAAGAGGATTCTGTGGTGGAAGATATGTCCAACAGCTGTTTGTAAATTTTTGAATCATGCATATGCATCTCTGACCCCTCCTTGGCAAAAGTTCTCTATGCTGGAAACGTCTCCACTGGAAATTTTTTATTTCACCTAGTGAGGCAGCAAAGTGCAAGAATCCACCTAGTCAGCAGGAAATCTCCAAAAGAAGAAGCCAACCTATGACCAACCTCGAGAACACACAATTTGTTGGTGTGTTCTGCTACTGCTGCTGTTACAAATTTAAGAAAATTCAGTACCTACTACAGAATTAAATGTAATTTAACTGTCCAGCAGAAGTTTTGTGACCAAAACATCTGTTTTCAGAACCCTTTCCTTCTTCGGGGCACATCATGTCTGAAAATAATCTACTAAACACACACTTAGCCGGTTCTATTCTCTCCCACTTGCTCTCTTCAGTTACTTTGAAAAAAGTGTTTATTTTGCGGTAAGGTTTGTCTGATTTCTTTTCAGCCATTGATTATCCAGTTTACACAAAAGAGTAAAAAAAATTGCTTTAAAAAAGCCATAGCGGTAAACAAGTGTAGGAGTACTTCTTCGAGCTTCAGCGTAAGGCCATCCATCAATTAAATCAGACACTTAATGTCTGAGAAAAATAATCTTTCATACCTTTGAATGAGCAGTTTAACACACATGATATTTTATTCGATGAAGCAAGAGCAATCTTATATTCTATGTTGATAATACTGGCCCCTCATTAAAAGCACTGTTATTCTATCAAAAATGTTATCTTAGTTGAATAGAGTAATTTTGATTTAAAAGGAGCAATGCCTGAGATTACAGCAAACATGGCGCAAATGCATTTTCAGTGGGAAATGAATGCAGACAAAGTGTCTTTTAAACTTTTGAACAGTTTATTGTTTCATTTAAAACTCTCCTTAGTTATTCAACAGAATTATCTTCCTACTTAAGTGGGTGGAACAATTTTATTGTACACAGTAGAATGCAGAATTTGTATTAGCTGCTAGTTTGCAATTTCTGCTTCTACTTATGTATTTGCATCATTGGTCCCACTTGTCTCCTTGCTGGCCCAGTAACAGACTGACATCTACAGAGTGTACCGCACCTCTTATTTGACAGCTGGGATAGAAACTTTAGAAACCGAATGAGAGCAACATGTTTCCACAGGCTTTGTATGTTTTCAAGACCTTTGATATAGAATTATTTTATTCATCTTTTGAAGTTTTCCAATACACACTTTGTCCCCCCTGCTTATAGTAGTTGCATGAACGACTGTTTCAGTGTTGTGTACATGAACTGTAATTAAAAATTCCTCAGTACAGCATAAAGCTTATAAAAGTATAGCATTGAAATATAAAACCATATGATGACACATGAAGGAAACAAGATAAGAATTTTCTTTTTGTGCTCTTGAATCTTTTCTGTAACTTCACAATGAGGAGTTTGAGCACAGCTTTATACAACACAAGACAGAGCAAATGTTAGGTTTTCACAGTCTTGAAATGTGTTGGTAGATTTATTCAGTGTATGGAGGCGTGTATAACGGAGGTTGTTAAAGCACAAAGAATCTAAA